TTTGCAGCGCAACGACAGCGCCTGGAGAACTGCACCTTGTCTCCGAGTGACACTCAGAAGCTGCGAGACATCATTGACCTCTATGAGGTGCCTCACCTGTTTGTCGGGTGCTAAAGACTGCGACCCATTGTTCGGGTCACTTTTCACATTTCTCACCCTGCTGCGACTTGCTCAGCCGTCCTGGTTGGTGCTACCATTCGCTGGGTTTGCACGGCCTTCTGGTTCACACTGTTTCTAATCAGCTTTGCAGGGCGTTGCAGCAGCAGACGAAGCTGGTGCAGCAGCATCGACCCAAGAGGATGTGGATATGGCAGCAGCCCCAGGACCAGGTCAGACCGCAAGTAGTTGCCATTCTGTCCCTGCATCCGGGACGGTGCTTTCCGGAGGGTAAGAGACCTAGAGCAGTGGATGGACATGACATGCATCAGTGACAGTAGGCAAGCCTCAGCCTTGCATGCAGATGGGAGAGACTGAACTAGAAGGGGTATAGTCATGAGTCCTAGTCGCAGCCACTTCATTGTTGCACATTTTTCACAGGTGATGCCCGCCCTTTTCGTCTTCGAGCACGAGCAGTGTTGGTAACCTACAATTCCTTGCAGCTGCAGCTGGCGGATTTCGATGAGTTCCTTACTTGGCTTGCAACGTGTGAGTGGGTCGGCAAATGGAGTGCCACGATGGAATCAAGTTTGCGTTCGGAGGATGCTGGCCGTCTACATATTCATTGCTTCCTGGAATTCGCCCGCCCCGTCGACTGGCAATCATGCACGGCGCTCCGTTTCAAGGGCATTCAGCCCAATCTTTCCCCATGTCGGGCACGGGGCGCACGCTGGCGAGATGCGGCAGACCAAGGACATTTTTACGTTTGGGCTGCAAAGGTGCATCTCCGTTGGGTTACCTTGTAACGACATTCTATCTCATGTTGAAAGTTGCAGTTCATGTAGGCCACCTTTGTCACTAATCCGATCGTGTGGCAGCAGCATGACGTAGCTTCTAGTTGATCATCAGTAGACCTGGCAGCTTTGCAGCAGATCGTGTTTGCAGTCAAACATTTTGTAGGCCACCTTGGTCTGGGCACCCACGAGCCTGATTTGGATGAACTGAACTCAATGCATTGGACCGCTATCTACGTGGTTGGTCTTGCATAGGCAATCCTTCTTCTTTGTACGCATTGATTCAAGATTTATCACTATCGATATATCGAAATATATCTCTGCATATAAACATATATATGTGGTGATCCATCTGAAGGTCCTGATAACGAGTTTCAATTGCAAACACAGTTCATTTGTGCTGGGACCCCGCGCGAAAGTTTGTTTGCGAAACAGAAACTGTTTGCTTCGCGAAAGTGTCGCGAACGGTGGCTAGAATGCATCATCCTCATTGTCTACAGTACCGCTTGTTAAGGGCTACCACCGCCTCCCTGCTGTCGGGGGTCCGGCAGGAGACTGGGACCGCACATTGGCTTTTCCCTTCATAGGTAGCAGCCAGCTTCCGAAGGTCACGCTTCGCCAGAGCCAAATACCATGGTGGCCAAGCACATCCTTGCACCTGCCGCTGGTCCTGCCTAACGTTGCTTTCTGAAGTCTCAAGAAACAACCGCGAAATGCAGCAGCCAAGCTTCGAACAGGGACACTTTGCAAGAGCCAAACACCAAGGCACCTGGTGTTTGCTTTTCCTTTGCCGCCCCCCCGTGCTCCTGGCTGTGGTCTGCGGAGACAAGTCTTTGCACGACAGTTGCACGCAAGTGCTGCAAAAGACTAGGTAAAGTTAAAGGGCATTTTGAAGGGCGTGGCCCAGTAAGCCTTGCTAAAAAAGTTCCTCAGCAGCAAGAACCTGTTCGCGAAGGGGATTCCGTGATGCTAGCACAATGTTTGCAAGGCTATGAAGCACTTTTCCGTGCTAATTTGGTGTGATTTGGCCTGTGCCGATTGAATCTTCATAAGCGGAGTTATTGCTCAACATGGGTTGCGCGAAAGATACACATGCAGTTCGCGAAGGATGCGCGAAAGAAACTTTTTGCTTCGCGATAAATGGCCGTTTGCAGAGACAGGAATTGACAGCAAGCGGCATATGTAGATTGTTTCGTCGCCAGCATCACATCTAATCTAATTGTCTGGACCCACCACCAGATCATTTCCTCGGCTGACATGCCTTGAGTGCTGGGTGGAATTCACCCGGGCGATCTGTGCAGGTAGGAACCCATTTCGTTGCCACCAGCTCCTACGAGGCGTTCAAGGACTACACAGTGCAGGGCAGATGGCTGGATGCGCTGTGGAGTGGGCACAGCTTTCTCATCAGCAGTACCTGCAGTACGCGTGCCTGGGTTAAGCAGCATTGTTTTCATTCCGGAGATACATCAGGGTCCACATTTATTGGACGCTCCATGGCTGCATGGCGATCAGCATATGTAGATATACTATAGAGACATTTTTCGAGAGATTTAGATACACACGCACACACACACACATATATATATATCTCTTCGAGACAGATCTATACAAATATATGTCTTTCTATATCTATCTATATCTATCTATGGATATATATATATATATATATATATATCTATTTATATATATATACATGGACCCAGGGGTGCGGATGCCAAAGACTCACTTTAGGCGGTGTCATTGCAGTTGATTTGTCAATAGCTGTTTATCGATCCCCCTTGATTGAAGCTCTATATGGAAGGGAAGAACCCATGTCCGGATGAAATGATTAAACCCATACTATAAATGTTTCTTTATCATATTTTATGTGGTCTGGAATATGGGTACCATAATATACAAGTAATAAAGTGGGATGGAGAAACCTGAAAATTCAACGAGGTCTGCATACCACTATTTATAAACACATATGCGCAAGAAAACATGATCAGAATTCCTTGTCCCGATTCTGCTGGGGCGCGAACGGTTCGCGAAAGGGTGGCGTGCGGGCAGTTTTCGGGTACCAGAATATTGACCAACTCCGAAAAGATTTGTATGAAATGGAACATAACATAAACCCAATGTGAATTTCAGTGGGACCACTTCATAGCAGGTCCATTTCATAGAATAGGGAACGTCACAAACACCTATGTTGTTTATAAAAGTGCTGCTTCGAGTCTGATAACGTGTCCGAACATAAGCAATAATTTGGCCGTAACATATCTTCAGATACCTTCAAATATCCCCCTTGGAATTTCCTCTACAGAATCAAGAACGTTGGGTCCTGGAAAATGGTGCGTTTTAACCCCCTGCTTTGTTTAGGGGTACCTACCCAGTGTCAACGCTTTCAATTGTATAGAGGACCTTGGGGCCTCTGATTCTATAGAGATTTCATGTTGAATACAGCACTGAGTCCTAGTCAGCAGAAAGCCTTAGCCACTGCGATTCTATAGTTGGATCTGTTCTCTTTGGGTGTATGTCATGTTCTTCAATTCTATAGAGAAGTATTGGCAGAACAAATTTCCCACAACAATTCGTTCATCATCATTGATCATCCTTGTATATAATCGAAGAGGTTGACAGTGAACACTTGGAGCCTTTGAGCTCTATAAAATTGGGAATGCATAAGGTAAGGTAGGCAAGAGCAACTGGAGCATTCAGGTCAGCTGTCAATGAATGACACTTGGGGAGCCTGATTTTATAGAAGGCCAACTAACCCCCCCAACCAAAAAACGGCTCTACGAGAGTGACTTGGGGGCAGCGATTCTAAAGAGATTGTCAACTTGAAAATACCTTGGGGTCTCTGATTCTATAGATGCATTTTCAGAAAGAGGGCCAATGTCTCCAGAATTATCACTATAAAAGTGTCAACACCGTGTGCAGCAGGTTGCAGGTGCGCTTGGGCTATATCACCCGCAAACGCGCTGTGGAAGCAGTCATGCAGCAGGAGAGCGAAAGTCGCCTCCGACGTGAGCAGGCCGAAGTGGTGGCTCAGCTCCAGCCATTGCAAAAGCCATTTTTGCCAGAAGTGGTTGCCCGAGTCGAAGACTGGGCCAAACAGTATTCCATTTTAGATTCTCGGTACAAATTTCTTGTGCTCCGGGCGCCTTCGCGCGCTGGCAAAAGCACCTTGGCAAAATGCCTCCATTTCGTTTTGCCTACGTATATCCAGAAGCCTCCTTTCATTCAAACTGTCCAGGGTGCCACGGCCGCTGAGTTACAACATTACGACAGAGATTCTCACGGCTTTATCCTGTTCGACAATTGCAATTCTATGTCCTTTGTGCTATCTCAGCGGGCCTTATTTCAGGCAAACCCAGACTTTCATCGCTTAGGCCAGTCACAGACGAACATATTCTCATATCAGGTTTATTTATTCAGGGTCCCCATTGTGATCACCATAGATGAATCAACTGACTGGGATGATGACGAACCATGGATTCGCGAGAATCAGCATTTGGTGCAGCTTACCGGCCCGTGTTATCATTTGGAGTAACAGCCTGCATGGGGTAGAGAAAGGCATGGCTTGGGTTAGGTTTGTGAAACCGCCTGCGGGGGAGATTTGGGTCTACAGCTGCTTGAACCCTCAATGTATATGTGTGTGTGTGGAAATGTATCATATGATTCACTGAGCTTAAATCTCTGGTGATTTTGGGATCATTCCCTTCCCCCAATCTTAGCCGCATCACCTCGTCGCCTCGTGACATCGTTACCCCCTGACACCTTGGTTGACATCGGCTATGGAAAGTCCTTCAGAGGATTGTCGTGCTAATTCAACTACAACATGGTGATGATTTTTTACCCTATGGTAAACTAACATAGCTATGGAAAATGGCCATAAAAATGGTCTTCCATACTTCTGTTCGGTTACCAGAGGGTATACATGGTCATGTCCATCTACTGGATACATCATCCGGATTTCACGACGAAAATCATCACTTCGGAAGTGGATGGCAACTATGACCCTGAAAAGTCGGAATGATGTTCGTCTGATTTTTTGGGGGTATCCCAAAACCATTGCGACTAGCCATCATATGTCCCATTAAATGGTCATTTTGGGAGTATACCCCATTTTCAGACTGACCCAAATGATGGATCCAAGCAGATTCGGAGTGATAAAAAAAGTGCCATGGTCGACCAGCCTCTCCCAGCCTTGATGGTCTGCTCCTTGGCGGATTCAATGAAGCTGGAGTTCTTCAACTGCGACGCCAGCGGGTAATCCACATACTCCAGAGACTCCAGCAGACCCCAAGCGGCAAAGGCAGCCCAGCCTGGCTGCCAGTTGGATTGGATGTTGTTTGGTGGGTGACCCGTCAGAAATCAAACATGGCAAAGGAAAATCTGCCATTGAGAGATGGGACTATCTTTGAAACCTCCATTCAGAGGGAATTGTCCATTTACCTAGAGGGCGAGACATGCTTCATCCCAGGAATCGCAAGTGGGTTAGCTCACCCCACCAACAACAAATGGACAAATCCATACAAATCCTACCAATCCTGCCTATGGCTGGGGTTATTGCCCACCTTTTAATAGGGGTGAATTAGGTATCATTGGTGGTAAACCCAAGAAAATCTCCGATTGGGGGATGATGATTTAGAATTTAGATATACAATATTATATAACTAGACCCAATGGTATATTATAGCCACTGGTATATCTAAAATTATCTAAATAATAATATCATTTATTACTATTTTACTAAGTATTAGTTAATTTGAGGAATCTCAGTGGCTACACCGCTACACCTCACCACGGCCAGTGCAAATTCGCGCCGCGCGCCGAGCCTTCTGGATTGAAGACCTGGCCACACTTGGAATGCAGTCCAGAGGCAATCTTGGCCGCTGCAACACAGTGCTGGGTGGTGTCCAAGACCTCCGGCGCTGGGGCTGACCGGATGAATGTTGTGTAACTGCTGGTTACACAACATTGCCATGTGGCTTAGGTTACCACTATGCAAACAGAAGAGTCGAGAGAATCAAGTCAAGAGATTTCCGTCATCTACTTTCGGTATTTATGGCATGTTCATTCAAGGACGAGTTTGCCTCCTCGCCGTTGGCTTTGATCCACGCCAAAGCCCCATCCAGTACCGAATCAGCTGTCACCGCGGTGGCAAGGGCACTGACGACTCCGAATCGAAACATGGCAGCGGAAATCAGCCAAGTTCTATTTCCTCAGGCTGCGGTCACAACAACATACACCAATCACAATCACCTTTTCGAGCCAAAATAGAAGAATAGAAGGCGACGCCAAAATCAAGACGCAAGATGATCATCAGATGTCCTTCAAGTGGCCCCAGTTCACCATTGGTCACTTCTTGGAGACGGCTTACATAGTGACATAGTGGATTGGTTCTTAGTTCAGAATCCTCATGCCATGGTCAAGCGTTGGATATATCCAGTCCTGGGGAATGGTCATCAATCACGGACTTCATGATTGATACACGGCCTTCATGTTTCAGGATTCCCATGGGATGTGTGAACCAACCAGTCGCCCATTCGCCAACCCGTCTTCGCCCAGTGGCTGTTCCCAGGGCTTCAACTTCACATCGCTCTTGTAGCGAAGATCGCCTGTCGAGCCAAGGTCCAAGAGTTCAAGGCAGGTGCACAGTGCCTTTTTAAAATGAAGAACACCTATTTAAGCCCAAGCTGAAGATGGAAAAACCATTTATCACTTATCACTATGTTCAATACTGTAAGTGGGATTTTCCTTTTCTAGCCGGCTGTTACTAGGTTTCAGCCCAAGCTAAAGCAAGTCAATGGTGCCATAGCCCAAGTTTCCAGGATCCCCCTGCTAAATGCAACTGATAGGAGGACACCTGTGGTCTAGGGTAATGTGAACCCTAGATTTTAACAAAAAAAATGATGTTTTTCAATTGGGGAACGCCATTTCAATAGCAAATCAGATTCTCATGATTTTGGGTCCTCAATAAACTCCGCGTTCCCTCGCGTTTCTTCGAGCCAACAAACCCCAAGAATTTGAGCCAAGCAACCGAGGGCACGGGACAGGTTCAAGCCCCTGTGGCAAGTTGAGTTCACCACCGAAACTGCAAACAATACCCATGCTGATGTCCCCCTCAATAAGTTGAAACCAAAACTCCACCCTCTACAAAACCCCCAAAATTCAACATCCCAACAGCTCCAATGCGGTCGCCACTTGTGGTTTGGAAACTCCATTCATAGCCCCCACTGGATCCCCAGTTCCTCTTTGATTTTCTTGGGAATATGGATAGCCACAGCTCCTGAGTTCCCTTTGGATAGCTCGGCACCACCCTGATGCTCGACGAAGGTCTCAGGGCCAAGCCCGTTCACGCGGTATTCTTTGCCGCTGCCCATGGCCGTCGCGCCCTCCTGAATTTCGTCCGAATTCACCGAAGGGGCGCTGGATAAACTTTGCCTCTTCAAACTGCAATTTTTCCAAAGCACTCAAAGCAATCTTTAAAGCCATTTTGAACCATATTCAATGCCATCCTTGAAGCCATAATTTACTGCAAGCATTTAAATGCCATATTCAAAGTCCTTTAAAGCCATTGAAATGCCATATTTCAGCAATTTCAAACATTCCTTGGGTTGGTTCA